CCTATGAATGTAATCAATGTGGTAAAGCCTTTGCATTGAAGAGTCATCTTCACAATCATGAAAGAATTCATACAGGAGAGAAACCCTATGAATGTAATCAATGTGGTAAAGCCTTTGTTCAGAAGAGTAGCCTTCTAGGTCATGAAAGAATTCATAATGGAGAGAAACCCTATGAATGCAATCGATGTGGTAAAGCCTTTGCACAGAAGATTAGTCTTCAAAGTCATGAAAGAATTCATACAGGAGAGAAACCCTATGAATGTCAGCAATGTGGTAAAGCCTTTGCAACAAAGAGTTATCTTCTCAGCCACGAAAGAATTCATACTGGAGAGAAACCCTATGAATGTAATCAATGTGGTAACACCTTTGCATGGAAGAGTCATCTTCACAGTCATGAAAGAATTCATACAGGAGAGAAACCCTATGAATGTAATCAATGTGGTAAAGTCTTCATACAGAAGAGTAGCCTTCTAAGTCATGAAAGAATTCATACTGGGGAGAAACCCTACAAATGTGACCAATGTGGTAAAGCATTTGCAAAGAAGAGTAATCTTCACAGTCATGAAAGAATTCATACTGGACAGTAACATATGGATGTAATCAATGTAGTGATTTCAGATGTGAGCTAATGTGAGCTGCCATGTCGGTGTTGGAAACTGAATTATGTATTCTACAAGAGGTACTTGCTGGAGTCTGGTGTCATAGGAGTTCAGGTCCCAAAGAAGAGATCAGGCATCAGTAGATGAAGGAGACTGCCATGATCTGAGCGTGGAGCAGTATAGCTGCTTCTTTATTGAAAAACGACTACACATTTTATGCTCTATAACTGAATCTTAGTTTAGACTCAAGCAGGTTAAAAACAGACTTAATTATTCCAGGATAAAAGGAGCCATCAACCTTATTACAGCATTTTTCCTGTTGCAAGAAGTGATAAATTCAGCAAGTATCTTAATGCCTTTCTGTATATGATCCCATTGTTTCTTTTCATAGTTGCTTTCATCCTTGGAACTAGGTGTATCCAGTTAGTAAATCATTAAGTTCTCCATTTTTGGTGTAATCAGAATGACACAATGGGGTTTCTTGTGTGGGAGTAGGCATAGTAATCACATTGTGTCGTTCCATCCTGGTGGGGATTTTTGCCAAGAATTTTGTTTAAAGAGAGTACCTTGCCTATGTATATGTTCCCATCCTCCAGTGTAGCCAGCAAAATAAATTTCCCACAGTAAAAGGCATAAGGAAACTCCATAACATATAGTGAGAATTATTAAAATAAAAATTGAAATAAAAATGAGCTAGAGAATTAAGATCAGCAATGTGGAAATGCTGGAACTTTGTTAAACAGCAATGGTCACCGTGCAGTCCACTCCAGGTACTAAACTGCTCAACAATTTCTCATCCCGTTTTATTTCTTTTAAGATTCATTTTATTATTGTTATCTTTGTGTGTCCTCATGAATAATATAGTTTGAAATCAGATGTCAGCCTGTGTGACCCAGTTCTTCCTTTCTACCATGTCTGTTCTGAGGACCAGACCAGGTCCATCAGTCTTGGTTGCAATCACTTTTACCTGCTGAGCCATGCCATGATGAATACTGAGCCCTGACATTTTTTCTTAATTGTTGATTTTTTTTTTGTTTCTTTAAAGAGGCTAATGAAGTTCAGACTGACCTTGAACTTCAAACCTTTCTGCTTCCACCTCCAGTTACTGGGATGACAGGTTTTACTAACATGCCCTGTTTATGCAGAGGTCTTTTGTGTGCTGAGCAAGTATTCTATCCAATGACCACCATCTGATATGAAAACATTGATGTAGCCGAGTTTTTCATATACAGTTCTATACTGAGAACCTGCCTCAAAACCAAACCAAAACTGCAAACACAAACTTTTGTTAAAATAAACTGTGTGTGTGTTAAGATGGAGTCTCTCTCAGTTGCCTAGACTGGCCTAGAACTCACACTGTAGCCCTTGAATCCTGCCCCTTGGTCTTGGCTTCCTAAGTATCCAGAGAACAGGGCTGAAATAAGGAGTAGGCAAGACAAAGAACAGAGTGGCCTAACTGTGTATCTGGGGGCTCACAGGTAGTAGCCAGAGGTGCATGACAAGATCAGAATGTTTCTAGGTTTGGATTATATTCCAGAACCTTGCTTGAAATGGAATGCCAGCATTTCAGCATGGAAGGATGGGATGAGGCCCAGGATTCAATCCTCTTGGGGGTCAAAATGTGCTAAGAATCTCATGTGGGCTAGGGCCACAAATGCAATGTGAAGCACTGCTTATGAAGAGAGAGATGTACACTGCCGAGTCCATGGTCATGGCTTAGTTGCAGCTTCACTGGCCTCATATAGAGGGTGAGTGAACATGCCAGGGCCAGAGCTGAGCTCAGGAGTCCCTGGACAAGGACAAGGAGAATGATGGAAAAGAGGCTTCCTTCTTGCTCACTGGTAGAGCACACTAAGCTGAGATTACACAAAATTGAAAATTCTCCCAGGTGGCAAAGTATTGCAAAATCCTTCCACTTCTCACATGGGAAACTGAAACAGAGGAGGAAGACAGTCATGGCTAGATCAATTCTGGTTATTGTTCCAACTGGTTATTGTAACTATAGTAACAAGTGTGGTGCACTTACATCTGTCTGAATAACAGGCATAGGGTCGGGAAGTCACTCAACAAAGGCGAAAGACAATAAATGGACAATTAGCAGGATTTGAACCCATGCTTAATTGGCATCTATGGACTCTTCATAAAGCAAAAAGAGTCCACCTACATTTACCATATGGATTCTATTGTAAACACTTTCCATATAAGGAGAATAAATATCCTCTCAGAAAAAAAAATCTGCACATTTTTTGGAGGCATGGAGAACCTGATAGTGAAGGCCAACTATCCTGTGGTGATCTGGACACCCCTTACAATGATGGATTGGACCTCTTCAAAGGCAGAGTCCTCAGCATGGAAGGAAAGGTATTACAGTGGAAATGGTACATATCAGAATTCCTTAGTGACTAGGATATGGTTAGCACTAAAGAAATAGTTCAGAGCCTAAAGTGCTCACCCCTCCTCCAAGAGAGGCAACTATGAACTGCAGGGGCCAACAGAATGGTCAAATCATTTGACTAAGGCATGGTTTACTGATGGCTCATCAACCATTGATGGATCTCAAACTAAAATGGAAAGTGTCACCCTCTAGACTTGAGATGGAATGGCCAGGAAGAAGATACCACAAAATCTTTAAACCACAATTGGGTAGAAGACAAACAGCTAAAGGAGGCCAAAGGAACATCTGCAGTTCATGGGCCTGTGCAGTGGCACAGTTAAACAGCAATCAAAATGGAAAAGCACTCACTGGCAGGTGAATGGCAAAGACAGCAGGGCATGGGAGGCATGGATGGAAATGGCAGCACCCAGTAAATAGGGAACTATGAGGTCTTGTGAGAGTTTCCATGGTGATCCAGGTGGTCTTATCCTTGAGATTCCATGACTTCCCATGGTGACCAGTGAGGTCCTGTGGGTTTCTCCAAGGAAACATGAAATCCTTTGAGATGGGTTTCATGTCCTCATTTGTCAACACTGACTATATTTTTATTGTGTCTATTTCTAAGTTTTCTCTGATGTTCTGCTGATGTCTTTATTCTTTTCCAAACCGTACAGTCTTATTGTAGGTATATGGGAAGTTTTCAAGCCAGTTGATGTCACTATGTGTGCTATTTACTCAGTCTTGTGTAGATCATTTGTTCTTCATAGTGATCTTTTTCCATTTTTCTATTGTTGATAGCATTAATAGTTAGACATTTTGTTGTACTTTTGTTGAATCTATAGCTCAAATCTGTACTGACATATTAATGAAGCTTCCTGTCTACAATCATGGAATTCTATCCTTTTATCTACTTCCTTGATTCTTTTAATTACTAATTTATAGTTTTACCTACAGGTATTTGTCACATTTCTATGTTTCCCTGGCTGTTTATCCATGGTGACGTATAAGAGATTTGGGGTTGTGTTTTTAATTTACTGAAGTTACTTATTTTATTTCAACTGTACGGGTGTTCTGCATCCATGTATGCATGTTCTCCACGGGTGTTTGGTGTGCACAGAAGACAGAAGAGGGCATCAGATCCTCTGCAAGACGATGTAGGCATGATTGTGCATCACCATGTCAGATCTGGGGATGAAACTCACATCTTCTCCAAGAGCAATATGTGGCCTTCACTGTTGAGCCATCTCTCCACTCCTAAATTATCAGAATTGTGTTTGTGTGTGTGCATGCAGATGCTCACACTGAAAACTGAGTGTTCAGAGAGTTGAGGTTTGATTAAACTCTGTGTTTGGGCACTGGAGATGATTCAGTAGGTATCAGAGTTCTGGGGCATTTACCCACCAACCCCACAGCTCCCCAGAGTTTTTTTGAGTGTGAGCAGCAGGAAATATTAGACAGAAGGATTTATATTGTGGAGAATATTGCGGAGATAAACAGATAGAAAATAGAGGATAGCCTTGAGAGGGCCTGGAATCTATTCCAATGGGCCACGTTGTCTCTGCAACAGGGTATTTATAGGGACACTAAGGGTTGCAGCAAAAGACCTCCTCCTCCAGCACAGCCAAGTGCAGACCATTCCATACACCTGCATTCAGGCCCATGGCCCATAATCATCCTCTATGTGGACCTGATGGGTAAAGCCATGAGGGACCTGAAAACAGGCTCCCACAGGTCCCTCTTTCTTAATAAAAACAACTCATTATTACAGCAATCTCCGTAGCTGTTATACCTCACAGTATGGAGTAGAGTATGATAAAGATGGCATTTCTCTTTTGAATTAGGTCCAAGGTGACTACAGCAGTCTTTAGCTGCATCAAGCCTTTTCTAATCCAAAAACTCTTAAAATGACTACAAACTTAAAGAATCCCTTAGCTTCATCATTACCATTAACAGGTTAACATAAATATTGCTATACATAGTCACAATTCTCCCAATCTTACAACTCAAAGCAAACTCGTAACAGAACCATTTGAATTAGCATATATGGTGCTATCTATAGTTAACAATTTTCTCAGTCTTACAACTTTAACTCTTAAGCATTTGAACTTTCTTGCTAACAGAACATAGGAAAAACTTCTGATGTATTCACATCAAACTTAAATATTTCCTCAACTCTACAAAAGTAGGGCACATTAATATCAATAGGTCAAACATAATTTCTGCAAACATAATTCAACCTTAATTCAGTCATAACTCCTCCTTTTCTTTATAACTTTTTAAACAAAATCTCAAACCTAATTAGAGAAACCCAAACTTTTCTGTTTAAACAGTTCCATTTGTAACCCAAAACCAGTGCCATAAGTAATTCCATTTTTACATAAATAGTTCCATAAAACAATTCATGAATCACCAGTTAATAAAGCATATATGCATACACAAAACTGCATCTTGATTCTAGGTAGAAATAAATTTCTTCATTTAAACAGTTCCATTTTTAATCCAATTCCAGAAAACAGTTCTTAGGTCATTACTATAAGTAAACTCAAAATTGTCCCATTGCAATGAAATCTATTGTTCATTTCATTTCTTAAGTCCCAAAATTCAAATAAAAAATTCTGGTACTAGCCTTCCAAATATGAAGAAATCCGTAACCAAAATCTTTTTGTAGTTTTATCTCATTATTTTAAGTTCAAAAAGTTCAAAAAAGGTAAATTCTGATATCAGGCTTTCACTTCCAAACATGAAGAGACGTTTTACAACCAAAACTTTTTGCAGTTAACAATTTTAGTTCAAACAAGAGTCTCTGCAACTTTTATTCTCAAGCCAGAGACCTTTTTAGGTACAGTAGTAGTGTAAACCACACCGTTTCTGATGTTAGCTCAGGTTTTTCTGTGTTGCATTTGATTTTCCATGGATCTCACCTGCAGATGCCTTGTTGTGCTGGTTCTGGCGTCTGCCATTCTTAGCTTCTTAGCAGCTTCTGCAGCTTTTGAAACCATTCAGACTGCCTGCTTTGCAGTCTACTGGACACTAACTTCTGTGTTTCTCTCCCCCCCTTTTTTTTTACCATGTATGTTAAGCATAGATTCACACTCAATATTTACACTGTTCACAAACTCACATATCTTGCAAAGCATTTAGACTCACATTCAACATTTACACTTTTTTTTAAATAAACTCATATATACTTCTTATTTACTTATATCCTTAAGGAAACTCTAAGACTACCTTAACAAATATAATTCTTATTTACTTATATTCATCTTATGCTTATTTAAACTTACATTTACAACTAGCATCTTTACTTCTTACAAGCTTATTATTACATGTTTTAGGACTACCTTAGATACTTCTTGCAAGCTTATATTCTTAAAGAAATTCTATAGCTCTATTTTACAAACTTATAGGGCTACCATTAGCATATATCTAACTTAGCAAACACCTAAATATTTCTTAACACTTAGAGATTTAACATTTTCTAACAAGACAGAATAATTTTCTACTTATTACTCTTAATTATCACCACTATCTGTAGCAGTGTCCTTTGCTGTTGTTCCCTTTGGGGGTGGGGGCTAAGTAGGACCAGAGTCAAACCACACAGACTCAGAGAGAATGTTGAAACAACAAGCTCAGTTTATTCAGGAAGAGGCAAGCCTTATATACCCTCCACCCCACCCTAGGGGGAGGTCTGATGAATATGCATCTGCTGGTGTGACATGACTGCCTCTGATTGGTCCAGGTCATCTCCAGATCATGTTTCAGCTGTTGTTGCTAAGACCATCAGGCAGACCCAGGCTGGCTCTCAGAAAGTATCTTTTTTACTTGTTTGGGTCGTCTGGCCCTCAAGCCTGTTAGGGATGGCCCTCAAGCCTGTTAGGGATGAGTCATCCCACAACTATCTGTATTAGATTCTCTTAACTAGACAAAGTACACAAGTCATTTCTAAAGTTCAGAGCTTATCATTCTAAAAGTTCTTGAAAAACAAGAGTTTAATTCTTTATTGGCTTTCTTAACTCTGAGATTTAGTGACTTCTGTTGCTATGCATTTCAGATGTTTCATAACAACTCTATTGAGAGCTATCTCAGTTTACGGCAAACCCAAAATGAAAAAAGAGAAAAACCTTGTAAGGAATATTCTGTTTCTGAATTGCTTAGCTAGTCATTCCATAACAGTCAATTTTCCAACAGAAGATAGTTGTCTAAATTGGAGTCAGGTTCCAGACCTCCAGCTTTCAGCAGGTCTGAAAACATTGTTGAAACATATTTACAGTTGTCTTAAACTGCTCCGCAGTCTGGAAGCCTCTTTATACTATTATCCCCAGATTAGGATGGAACCTTGATATCCCAAAAATTTAGTTGCTTTTTATACTCAAACTATGATACAATTTTCCCCCTTCTTAATTTTTTTTTTTTCGAGACAGGGTTTCTCTGTGTAGCTTTGTGCCTTTCCTGGAACTCACTTGGTAGCCCAGGCTGGCCTCAAACTCACAGAGATCCGCCTGCCTCTGCCTCCCAAGTGCTGGGATTACAGGCCCTTCTTAATTTTTTAAAGCTGTATTTGCCATGAGTTTTTTAACAACAGTGATGTTTCTGATATTTTTACTACCCAACATTTTCATCAAAACTGCTACTATTCAAAAGAGTCAAGAACATAGATGTTCTTTCATAAAATGTATCCTTCATTACTTTGAGAAAAAGCACTTTCAGGATTGAGTATTTTCATCATTAGCTTTAAGTCCTGATGTTTTTACCAGCTGTGATATTTAGTATTGATTTCTTATAAGGAACTTTTAGGTGAACCAGCTCTTTTGTAAAACAGCTAGATTTTCTGAAGTTTTTTTCCCCATCTATAAAGCAGTCATTTCTTTTTGAATGCCTGTTTCCTTGTCTCCTTATTAGATTTGCAAAGGCATTACTCATTGCAGGCAGTTTGTTCAAAAGGCAAAGAACTTTATTTTCTTCATATCTAAAACAATGTTCAGTGTATAAACTGCTTTCTCTTGCTTTCTTAAGCATTTTAAGTGGCTTGTTTGCTCTTAAAGGTAGCTTTTTGTCATCCAACTACCGTAAAAATTTTGCAGAGCTATTAGGGTAAATAAGGCATTTTACCAATGGAGCCCCAAACCGTGAAGCCCCTAGTTCAATATCCTTTCAATTTTTCATTGGAACTGACACTTAAAATCTTAGATGATTTTCCTCCTTATTCTTTTAAAAGCTGTATTTTAAGTTTATCATGAACATATTTTCGAGCTGACAAAAGTGTTTCAGGGCAATGTCTCTGTCTTTAGTGGAAAAACTGCCTTTCCCAGAATGCATTTCCCATATATCAGTCCCTTATTGCAAGCTAGCTTTTGGACTTCACTTCCCATAGTTCTTTTCGGGAACATCTGAAATGCATAGCAACAGAAGTCACTAAATCTCAGAGTTAAGAGAGTCAACTGGATCTCTTTTTTGCTTACAGATTCTTG